CGTGGCGTAAGAGTAATACGCGCGAGCCTCACACTCCGTTTTCAGCCTCGTTTCAGACCTTTTGTGTTACTGCTCACGCGTACTTGAATACGCCAAAATCTGCTGACGGACAGTTTTGAAGTCTACATAAACGTGTATGTGTACCGAAAAAATGCATATTAAGGTAAGATGTATCAAGTATAGCGAGACCAATAATAAAATTAATACAGTATATCCTATCTAGAAAAATTCAGTTAAACAGTTGGCAGGCTCTTATAAAACCTTGGGATGGATTTTGTGGACCTTTGGAGGTGTGGACGCATCCGCTGCCTCCACCTGATTCAGGTGCTTCGTTTTCGAGTTTTGGGGTCTTCGTTTTCGAGATTTGGCTGCTTCGTTTTCGAGATTTAGAGGTCTTCGTTTTCGATCGAGGGTGCTTCGTTTTCGAGTTTTGGGTGCTTCGTTTTCGAGTTTTGGGTGCTTCGTTTTCGAGATTTGGGTGCTTCGTGCTTCGGTCTTCGTTTTCGAGTGCTTCTTTTTCGAAACTACCGTCCCGGATGGCAGGAACGCCCCCTCCCCAGTAACTGGAGAAATAACACATTAATCAGTCACATTAAGCATAAAACCATTTATTTCTTTCAGAAATAAATTTCCTATCTTCACATGTGAAAATAACATGTTATCTTCACATGTGAAAATATCACCGTTGCTATGGCTTCATAATAAATCGCGCCTTTCACACCAAAAAAACTATTAAAGTGAAATGGTTTTGTATTTCGTTAGTGTTTATGTAATAACTAGAACATTACATGCCCGTACATGGCTGCTTGGAGATACGAACTTTCTCTTCTCGTGTTGATCTCTGCGCGGCCATGTAATATCCTCTATATCTCACTCGTTTCAAAAATAGAGAAGGATAGTCAAGAGTAAAGTCAAAAAGCATGAAAATACCGCATACACTTTTAACACTTGCCGTCCCTGAAACCCCGTTCACTCTCCTTTTGACGCTGCTACAGCGGCTTAGCGATGAACTCCCCCTTAGTTTTACTGGTGACTTGCCTTATTTAACACATCATTTAACATTTTTTTAATGTTAGATAGCCTTTATTCAAAAAGATGGCGGATCCAGAGAATCAAGGCACTAACCCGGAAAAGGCTCCAGGGAAGCAAAGTAGTGGTGGTGGTGGACAGATTGGTTTTACCATGGAGTACGTAACTTCAATCCCTGGAATAATCAAAATTGTTGAATTTGTAAGTTCCCCTATACCAAGAGAAATTCCCCGTAATAGCGCTTATTTGCGAGTTAACTCAGCTAAGCGTGAGTTTAACTGAGTACAAATTAGTTTAACTATCTGTCTAGTGGAACAGTGTTAAAATAAGATCAAATACACCTCACTAACGTTGTCAAACAAAAAAAGCAAATAAACAAAGCAAAAAGAAAAAAAGAAGAAGAAAAAGAGAGACTGAAAGGAAAGAAAAGAAGAAGAAAAATAGAAATGATTTCGCCATGTGAGCTGCAAGCAAAAAGTGCTCCCTTTTAAGGCAACCTATCTAGCCCTTGACTGTTTAAACCGTTTGAGCTATAAAAACGTTGCAGGAAAACAGAATTTGGTCTCGCAACAATCGCAAGTTTGTTGGATTTCTTTTTCTTTTATTTTACCTTTTTTAAACAAACACAACTCCTGCCTCTCTTTCACTCGATCTAAAGACACAAATGTAAAATCTGCTATCGTTTTAGATAAGTCGTTACCAGCACCCTCACCATATTTGTATTTCTTGAACTATCTCTCGACGTAGTTTATTTTTTGTTCTTATCCTTTTAGTTCTTGTTGATGATAGCGTTTGCCTTGGCTGCCGACTCTAAAGGTTCATCTTCCTGGGGGCGGATGGACTTTTTTCTCTTTGTCACCGTCACCTCCTGGCTGTTGGTTATCGCCATATTTGTTCTATTTGCCTTCAACGTGATTTCGGTGATCAATGTCAATATTGACTGGAACTTGCCGGTAAGTCTCATATTATGAAAAAAATTACATCGTTGAATACGGTGATAACCCATCTCTTAGCCCTTTGTTTGGTGTTGTCATCTTAGTCAACTTTCCCATCAATAGCAAACACCACCTGCCCACGGCACTTAGGACGGTTACATTATACAAAAAGTATGTTTCTGTAGCGACATTTTGAGTCATCCTCTGCAATTTTTAAATTTGTCACAAGATCCTCCATTGGCGCCAAAAGCTTTAAAGACTCAGTTTTCTCATTAAATATTAGAAATACGCAACAAGTTATATTGCTCGAAATTACCAAATTGTTAAGGCCATTTACTGGAGGAAATGCTCGTAAAAAGTGCAGGCGTTCAGATAGTGGAGTGGTCAGAGAGCGAGGGAAATAAANTAAAGGTTCATCTTCCTGGGGGCGGATGGACTTTTTTCTCTTTGTCACCGTCACCTCCTGGCTGTTGGTTATCGCCATATTTGTTCTATTTGCCTTCAACGTGATTTCGGTGATCAATGTCAATATTGACTGGAACTTGCCGGTAAGTCTCATATTATGAAAAAAATTACATCGTTGAATACGGTGATAACCCATCTCTTAGCCCTTTGTTTGGTGTTGTCATCTTAGTCAACTTTCCCATCAATAGCAAACACCACCTGCCCACGGCACTTAGGACGGTTACATTATACAAAAAGTATGTTTCTGTAGCGACATTTTGAGTCATCCTCTGCAATTTTTAAATTTGTCACAAGATCCTCCATTGGCGCCAAAAGCTTTAAAGACTCAGTTTTCTCATTAAATATTAGAAATACGCAACAAGTTATATTGCTCGAAATTACCAAATTGTTAAGGCCATTTACTGGAGGAAATGCTCGTAAAAAGTGCAGGCGTTCAGATAGTGGAGTGGTCAGAGAGCGAGGGAAATAAAAAGGAAGGAAAGACGCCACCCCCTCTCTGTTTTTCCTGTTCAAATCTTTTTGCGCCGTTCCCACAATCTGAACGCCTGCAACAGGCTGGTAAACAGAAGTAGCATGCCACTGCTTTATGCGCATGCCGAAACTCAGGAAAGCATATTTTTTCGCTAGGAATAAAAGGCAGCGTACTGTTCCTTGATGTTTTTGGTACACATTTTTCCATTTATGGTTACCTACAATTACTGTAGTTCATGTAGAAACCAAGACACAGCTCGTTAAACGCTGTAACATTCTTGAAATTGCATTGCAGGTTATTATCTTCTCTGCTGTTGTGGCAGTGCTTCTTTTGATCAGTTCATCTCTGATAGCTGATGATGCCAGGAAATTGAACGACGGTTTACGCCCATATGGTCTTTCAGCAGATAAGCTGAGTGCAGCAGCGGTATGTAGGAAAATCAAACTACAGTGAAACTCCTTACTGACACTTCTATTCAGGGGACACAAAATTTGGTCCCGGTATAAAATGTTCACATCATAATCTTGTTGGAATTCAACACACTGCGTCGCCGGGATAATTTGATCGTGATGTTTTATACATTATCTAGCTGTTTGAAATAATGACTCAGCAGATTCTATTGCAGAATAGAAGAAAAATATTTTATTTGTTGGTTAATAATTACCAAATCCCAGTCCAACCTGATTCAAAGGACACCTATATTCAGGGCACACTTACCTTGGTCCCGAGGGTGTCCCCTGAATATAAAGGTTCCACTGCTAATGTTGACATGTAAGCTGGCTTTACGCAAAAGGGAATGGGAGGATGCAAAACACTGCCAACCTTAAATTTTGTTACCTTGAACGTTAAAAGCGATACCGAAACATGCAAACTTGGGGTTAAGGTATTCACCAACCTCCGCCTCTCCAACGTCATAATGCCGTCAAATAATGCCATTGAGTCAATCACGTTATGCCAAGATGATAGATATGATGAGAACACGATGGGCTTCCTGTGAGTGCATTATTCTATGCAATTGTGGTGGTAGTATCATTTGTGAGCGGTTTTGAAGTTATACAAAGAAAAGAAGGAAGCAGAAAAACGTCTGCTCTGAATAGGATTAGCAACAAGCTGAAGTGTTACTAATTCACTTTAAAATATCATTTTAAGGCCAAGGTGGTCATTTTGGCTAGAAAATATATATAAAGTTTGATAGCACTGAAATTCTTCAAACTTTTAATTCTGAACACTTTGAGCGGAACGCCATGCAAAGCTGAGCGTACTTAAGCTATAGGGGGTTGAGTCCGACTACTAGGCTCCAAGAATTTTTCGATGCAAGGGATCAAAACGATAAAAAAAAAATTACATATACTGAATTAAGGTCGCAACCACCAACTCTTGAGTTAAACGTTTATGCTACACTACGGGTAATTGCTGAAGTAATTTTTGGCATTCCAAGGGTTCAGCTAGTTTCTTAAAAAATAAAGCCTTCCTTAATTTTCCAGACTCCAATATTGTAGGGGCCTCTGTCAGTTCCTATGGAGAATGTTCGTACAGACACATCAGTTCGAAATTTTCTGTCTTAGACTATATTTCTAATGTCTTATTTTTCTCTCCTCTAAGGCCTTTGGATTCTTCTCCATGGTTGCATTCATCATTGATGCTGGTATTCACTTCATGAAAATGCAAGGAAGGATGTGATCAAATGTCACTCAACTGTGGCTCCTAAAATTGTTTGGTCAGCTGTTATGACATATTTGTTCCTATTTAGGTATTTTTAGTTCCTGTGGTAAATGTATGAAAGGAGAACAGGTTTAGTTAAGAAAGAACAATAATATAGTGTCGGGATTGTATTTAACTTCAGTGATCGATCGGACTAGTGCCAGTGTTTTGCCTGTGGTATGGGCTAGACGAAAGCGAGAAGCGAAAAGTTTATTTTAATTTTCACTGACCGCGAGTTAAGTGAACATGTAACAGTGATGTAACGAGGCACCCACTGCTTACATTCAAATAAGGTTTGCTCGTGTGAATTGTTTTCGAGCGTCGTCAAATGTTCAGCAAGTGGCACAAGTTAACTGAAGTTAAGTCGGCGGTCAAATGCAGTATTTGGCTGTCTTTGCAATTGTCGGACCGGCCTCTCTAAAACCGCCGACGACCGTTTTAGCGCCAGTCCCAGCCAGCTGTGTCCCAGCTGTTTGGGTCTGAAAAGTAGGAGTCATAACACCGCGTACCAATAGACCTTTTTACCTTGTATATTTTGCATTTCAAATTAAGACCACGTGATGCTCTCCTGGGAATTTGCCTTTTGTCTTTTCATAAATTATGTCTACATACATGTTCAAGTGGATGCACGTGTATATGACGGCATTTGAAAGAAACAGTTCTCTGGGGTAACAGAGAGCAAAATATACAGCAAGCTTTAAAGGTCTATTGCGGAACCGGCGTGATTAAAGAACTCCTATTTTTTTCTTTTGTGAACTCTTCCATTTTAACAAATAAAAAAGTCAAACGGATCTACATTTAATGAAAAAAAAAGAATTCTTGCTACTGGTCGCGAACCTTTCAATTGAAAAATTGTGATATTTGTCAGAATGTGCTCGAAAACTCATCATAATCGGCACCCCACTCGCAAAACAAATTGTACTGAGTGAAAACCATGGCATGGCGCAAGCCTCGTTAAGACGTAACTTCGTTCCCAGGGTCCTCTCGCGTCACGAACGAGTTGGACACAATATATCTTGGGAACGAGGTTGGTCAAACCATTCGATTTATTTATTTTTTGTCACAAGCAACTTGTACTGCCATTTTCTTAATCCACTATACTCATCACAGGCTTTCTATCGCTAAGAACATTACACGTTGGCTCGAAGATATGAATTTTATGTTCTCGTGGCAAGAACAATATCTCACTCGTTCGCTTCGCTCACTCGTGAGATATTGTTCTTGCCACTCGAACATAAAATTCATATCTTCTCCCCACCGTGTAATATCCTCTATATCTTCCGGTCACTGACATGTGAAAATATCACCGTTGTTATATGGCTTCATAAAAAACCGCACCTTTCAGACCAAAAAACTATTTAAGTAAAATGGTTGGTATTTCATTAGTGTTTATATAAAAAAAATAGAACAATTACATGGTCGCTTGGAGATGAGAAATTTCTCTTCTCGTGTTGAAAGCGCAGCGAACGAGTGAAATATTTTTTCAACACGAGCAGAGAAATTTCGTATCTCCGTGCGGCCATTTAATATCCTCTATTGAAGGGACGTACACCTCTATTCAGGGGAAAGGGACACTTTTTCTGGGTTTAACCTTCATTTAGGGGAACCCTTAGCACTCAAAAAGCCTTTCTTAATTTTCCAGACTCCAATATTGTAGGGGCCTCTGTCAGTTCCTGTGGAGAATAACTCAATGTTCGTACAGACACATCAGTTCGAAATTTTCTGTCTTAGACTATATTTCTAATATGTCTTATTTTTCTCTCCTCTAAGGCCTTTGGATTCTTCTCCATGGTTGCATTTATCATTGATGCTGGTATTCACTTCATGAAAATGCAAGGAAGGATGTGATCAAATGTTACTCATTCCAACTGTGGCCCCTAAAATTGTTTGGTCAACTGTTATGACATATTTGTTCCTATTTAGGTATTTTTTAGTTCCTGTGGTAAATATATGATGAAAGGAGAACAGGTTTAGTTTAGAAAGAACAATAATATAGTGTCGGGATTGTATTTAACTTCAGTGATCGATAGGACGAGTACCACTGTGTTTTGTTGCCTGTGGCATGGTCCTAGACGAAAGGGAGAAGCGAAAAGTTTATTTTAATTTTCATACCGCGAGTTAAGTGAACATGTAACAGTGATGTAACGAGGCACCCACTGGTTACATTCAAATAAGGTTTGCTCGTGTGAATTGTTTTCGAGCGTTGTCAAACGTTCAGCAAATGCAAGTGGCACAAGTTAACTGAAGTTAAGTCGGCGGTCAAATGCAGTATTTGGCTCTCTTTGCAATTGTCGGACCGGCCTCTCTAAAACCGCAGATGACCGTTTTAGCGCCAGTCCCCGCCAGCTGTGTCCGTTTCACTTGATTGTTTGGGTCTGAAAAGTAGGAGTCATAACATCGCTTACCAATAGACCTTTTTAGCTTGTATATTTTGCATTTCAAATTAAGACCACGTGATGCTCTCCTGGGAATTTGCTTTTTGTCTTTTCATAAATTATGTCTACATACATGTTCAAGTGGATGCACGTGTATATGACGGCATTTGAAAGAAACAGTTCTCTGGGGTAATAGAGAGCAACATATACAGCAAGCTTTAAAGGTCTATTGCGGAACCGGCGTGATTAAAGGACTCCTATTTTTTTCTTTTGTGAACTTTTCCATTTTAACAAATAAAAATGTCAAACGGATCCACATTTAATGAAAAAAAAAGAATTCTTGCTACTGGTCGCGAACCTTTCAATTGAAAAATTGTGATGTTTGTCAGAATGTGCTCGAGAACTCATCATAATCGGCACACCCACTCGCAAAACAAATTGTACTGAGTGAAAACCATGGCATGGCGCAAGCCTCGTTAAGACGTAACTTCGTTCCCAGGGTCCTCTCGGGTAACGAACGAGTTGGACACAATATATCTTGGGAACGAGGTTGGTCAAACCATTCGATTTATTTATTTTTTGTCACAAGCAACTTGTACTGCCATTTTCTTAATCCACTATACTCATCACAGGCTTTCTATCGCNTGAACTCTTCCATTTTAACAAATAAAAAAGTCAAACGGATCTACATTTAATGAAAAAAAAAGAATTCTTGCTACTGGTCGCGAACCTTTCAATTGAAAAATTGTGATATTTGTCAGAATGTGCTCGAAAACTCATCATAATCGGCACCCCACTCGCAAAACAAATTGTACTGAGTGAAAACCATGGCATGGCGCAAGCCTCGTTAAGACGTAACTTCGTTCCCAGGGTCCTCTCGCGTCACGAACGAGTTGGACACAATATATCTTGGGAACGAGGTTGGTCAAACCATTCGATTTATTTATTTTTTGTCACAAGCAACTTGTACTGCCATTTTCTTAATCCACTATACTCATCACAGGCTTTCTATCGCACACCTAAATAACGTGTAAATGAACAAAGACACTCTAAAATGGTTTAACTCCTAGTTTGTATAATTGTCAATGCGTAGAATAATAACAGACAACGAAACTGATGTAGTTACTAACTGATGCATAATAAAGTGTACCTTGCTAGAAAAGGAACTGGCCAAGTCATGTTATTTTGAA